AAGCAATCATATGCTTTTCATTCAACCAGCGAGTGCCTTTTGAGCCCCTACCTTGGGCCAGCACTGCTGGCCAGAGATGCAAAGAGAAAAGGCAAAGTCCTCTCACCAAGACATACAGGCTCATGGGAGAAGGTCCACCCTAGGGTGAGACCCGCTAGAGCCTCCGTGACTCCATGCTTCAGGTAGGTATGGTAGGGAGGGAGCTGCTGCTCTTTTCTGATCAACTTCTATGTAAAACCCTGTCATTAAAGACATCCCAAGAGGCTTATGGATGGATGCTGCCACCTCAGTCCCCTCTCAGGTGCAATTATCTTGGGGCACACTGGGTAGTCCTGGGCATGTCTCCTGGGGGGATGTTCATGTATACATGCCTGCTCAGTACAGTAGCCACTAGCCACATGTGGTGATTTAAACCTAAACTAAATAAAATTTAAAATCCGGTTCTTCATTCACACTCACCACTTTTCAAGTGTTCCACAGCCACATATGGCCAGTAGATGCTGTATTGGACAGCACAGATACAGAACATTTCTGTCATTGCTGTAAGTTCTGTTGGACATTCTTACTACACAGATAATTGCAATAAATATGATTCACACAGAGGGGAGGGGCTGAAGCCAGTTGAGGTGGGAGACGGATGTTGACATGAGTGGGGTGAGGAAAGGCTTCTCTGAGGAGCAGCACCTTAGCTGAGCCTCAAGCCGAGGCTCCTGGCTCTCCAAGCAGTCAGAGCCCCAAACCGTGACCTCAGCTTGAGTGTGGATGCCCTTAAGTCCAAGAGCCCTTCCTCCTCGTTCCACATACGGCCCCGTGTCTTTTCATCCACTCTCTGGTTCCAACTGCCATCTATCAGAGATTTTCAGCTGAGGCTGGAGGGCTGTTAAAACTCAAATTCCTGGGCTCAATCTCCAGAGTTTCTGATCAGTAGTTCTGGGTGGGGTCAGAGAGTGTACATTTCTAACAACTTCCCCAGGGACCACACTTTGAGTACCACTGGTATGATTTAAAGAACCTCATCCACTCATTC